CTTGATTGTAATTGCTCAGTGATCAAAATTCAATACGATCGATTCCCTTTACAGTTTCCTTTTATTCTGCTCAGAATGCTGAGGTGTTTATGATAAGAAACAAGTATATTAAATTCAATGATCAAAGAACCTGCCACTCTAAGTCCAGAGTAAAGATTATCTCATGTTTGCTCAAGCTCCACAAAGCTGGGAAATTGAGAGCTAAGGCCTTAACAGACATGCACCATGATCAGCAATGATGATGTACAATGTCACAAATTGCACTGGCTTGCAATTTACACTCCATGGGCACAAACTTTCCATTAGTCCTTCAGGTCCAAATGCAGATGAGGAGACTGAAATGTCCCGGTTCTGTACTGCATTATGAAGCATCTGGGTCTCACTCTACTGCTAAAGAAATCCTCCTGTGAGCTGACGCATGCCTCTCTCTTTTTTCCTGCTCACATCAGTAGCTGGAAAGATGGGTTAAAGCAGGAATGGGGAGCCTATGGCCCTTCAGAGGTTGTATTCCAGTTCCCATTAGCCCTAGCCAGAATGACCAGCTTTAAAAGCTTGTAACACAGGAGAAGTTTCATTTGAGTTGATACTGTCAGATTTGTAACTCTGCCGCCAGATTCCAAAGCAGTCCATTCACACACCACCTGTATCCAACTGTGTGCTTGAAGGGTCCATTTACATGACTCAAATTCACTTAAAGTGCTCTGCAACAGAGATGGGCAGGTGCTGAAACAATTACTGGATTGCTCCCCTGACAAGGAGGGGGATAAGCAAATTTATGTTGCTCATCGTGTACTTTAAAATCTTGGCTTTTTCCACATAGACAGCAATGTGGGGTGCATGGACCCTTAACAGAAAAGGAAAGAATGGGAAATTAAAATTTATATTAAAGGTATATTGCGGCAATAGCATTGCAGATGCTTTGGTAAAAGCCAAATGCTAGAGACAATAACAGTCTAATCCATGGTAGGGACAAGTCAGTTTTATCAATAGCAGAGTATTAACTAACAGAGATCAAGCAAAGAGATCATATCTGCACTGAAATAATTCCACTGGCTCCTATTAAGCTTCCAAGCTTCAAAGTGCTACTCTTAACCTTTAAAGTCCTGCATGGCAAAGGACCCAGTTATTTATTTCACTGCCTTCTCCCCTGTCCATCCACTGAGATTGTCAACTGTGACCATAATTCTTTCCAGCTGTGCCCGCTTTGTGACGTGGTAATTAGGGAGTAAGGATGAAAAGAACATGTCAATTTCACCTCTCTTGGTTTCTCATATTTCCAGTCTTGAATTCAGTTCTTCGCATTTCTGCAGCAATTTGCAATTTTCTATTTTTAAAAATTCTAAAGAAAATTCTGCAACATCTTAGTGCAAATTTCTCCTAATAAACACGTTTGTAGGCAGCTTTGACTAATAGACACTTATTTACAAGCAGTTTCACCTAATAGAGTGCATTTTGTATATTATCTTAGCTAAACTATTCATTTTAATTTACACTTCCACCAGTATTTGAACTTTTGTAACCATTGCTTGGTTGGAGAACTATTGCAAAATTCAGACATGCATTCAGAATATTAAAGGACGGCTGTCTTTCAGCTCAGTTTTTCCAGAAAGTGTGAATTTGAACAATTCAGCTTTAAATGCAAACTGAATTCAATATTTATTGTTTTAAAATACCACCTCTATACCACAGAATATAAAAAGCTCTATAAGTCGTATACGGGGTGAGGGGGGGACTTCCCCTTTTCCCACTGGGAAGGCTCCTTTTCTGTTGTGATTTTTCATCTTTGGAATGCCCTCCCAAAGGAGACATGACTGGAGACTTCGTTAGTCTCATTTAGGCACCAAGCTCTATCTGTCTGTCTGTCTGTCTGTCTTTCTCTAGGCTTATGGAAACTGCTAACGTCAGCTGATTTAGAGCAGTTAGATTTTACTGTCAATTTGAATGGACCGTTGCTGTTTTAATTTGTTGTTTTAATTTGCTGTATTAGTTTGTATGAGTTATTATTTTTCAAATTGTACTTTTAGGTTGTTGCTAGTTTGTTAGCCGCTCAGGGAACATAAATTCACACTGAAGTCACAGAATATAAATTATGTAAATGAATGAATAAATAAAACTACTAAATAGGAACAGACACATTTCAGAATATCTCTCTACTTCTGCATAGTTAACCTGTATTTGTGTATTAAGAATCATGCCGCTTGCTACTTGTATCACAGTCTTGTAAATGATTCAACAAGCTTATGGCATAGTTCACGTTCGAAAGCCTTGATTTTTTTCCTGAGGTTTCTGAATTCATGACCAGTAGTTGGTATGAACAAGGTCACCTCATTTACATTAAAAGAAAGACACATTTAACCAGCTGGGAAGTATTAATGAAATTTGTGAATGAGATCTGTAAGTTAATATCTTGCCTTTAATATAATATTTACTCCTACTGGCTCTTAATTATGCACTTTTGGCTTACAAGTCATCTATGTGGGACGAAGCCTCCAGTTTAGCAGCAGCTCTATATAATCATATTTGAGAGCAATTTTTAAGGATCCATTTTCCTCCTCAAATTAAAATGTAAAGCACAATAACACCACTGATTTTGCTGTCAGGTAATCACCACCACTGACTTAGTCAGGTAGGGGGAGCTTCCAGGAGGCGGATGAAAAACCGAGGCACCTTTAACTTCATCAACTCCAATAAGCAATAGGGAATTAGTAATATAATGATTTCTTTTGTAGTTTTGGGACTATGGCTTTTATCCAGTGAAGTAACCCCATAAGTCCAAGGGTGTCTGGCTACAGAATAGAACTTCCCCACTCTCACCTGTCCTCAAGCACCGCCACTCCCCATGCTAAATCTGTTCTCGGTTTCCCCCACCCAACCCCCTGGAGAAGATTTTTTGGGGGTGGGTGTAGAAACACACAGAGAGAAGAGAGGGAGGAGAAGTTCTGTTGCACAAATGGAAATCTTTGTGCTAATTGAACTACCTCTTTGGATACAGCTCTGCAACTTCCATCATCCCTGGCCATTAGCCATTCTGGCTGCAGCTGATGTGAATTGGAGTCCAACGTGAGCTGATCTGTCAGATCTAAACACTTCTGCTATAAAATGACGGGAAAATGCCCAAACAGTTTGAGGGGTTAAAATCAGTAGTCTGATTTTCAGTCCCAGCAATCTGTATCGGCTCCACTTCCTTTCTCACCATCTCCCTGGGCATGTGCTCCAGCTATCAAACACACCAATTTAAACACACACACACACACACACACACACACAAAATAAAACTCGGGCGCTTCCCCTCTTTCCAATCTTCCTATTTCCTCTCTTCCTAATGAAAGGATAATAGCGTTGCCTTCTACCAAATAACAAGCATTTCCGGCTTGCTTTGTAATCTCCCATTTCCATGTAAATCACCCACACAGTTTTTTGTGTGGCCAGCCAACATGGCAGTATTTTATGATTTCAATTTGCTCAAGTCCTCTGAATTTTGCTAAGAGTCTCCCATTTGGTCCTCGGGATTTTTACAGTTAACAGATGTTCACTTGATAGGACCTCACGTTGAGCTAATCATGGTGTCTCTTCTCCGCAAGAATGTGTACAATCAAAGATACCAACTCCTATGGGAGCGACATGCTTTACTTCCAAGAGTTGAAAGAAACTAAAGTGATAATCAGAAATCTGCCCCATCTCTTAGTAAGCATCTTGCAGTAAGTTTTGTGTGGGTGTGGGTGTTTTAATTCCAGCAGAATGTGTTCTGTTAACTAATGCATTCACTGGCAGTGGCTTTTCTTTCTCCTTGTTAGTGATCTGCAGCAGAGCCTGCAGCAATGGACTACAACAGAGAAACAAGCCAACTAACACGGCTTTATGAAAAACAATGTTGTTGCTGAATCAATATTTTCATGGCCTTGAGCTATTGGAAATGATGGTATTTTTAATACTGCCTGTACAATGTAGTGTCATTTCCAAGTTTCAAAGCTCCGGATCCCGGCTTTGACAGGGAGAGAGGGAAAGTGGAGGGAGCGAAAGTAGATTTCTTCAGAAAAAAACAAAAAAACCAAAATCAGGCTTGGCTTTGCATAAAGTATAAAAATCCAACTGTGCCTTTTTAAAAATCATTTTTTTAAGGGGGGCAGATATGAAGTGGAAGCCTGTGAAACACTTCCAAGCTCATAAAGTAAGACATTTTGCCAGAGTACCTAACTTTTATTAGGGCAGCTGTTGTGGCTGCCTAATTCTTCATTGACCAGGTTTTATGCAGTCTGTTGTAATAGAACAACTGAAAAAGAAAAGGCACAGTCCAAAGAGCTGTGTCATTGTCTGAGCAGATGACACACCAGCTCCCATATACAACTTGTTTGCTGCAGTTTTTAACTAAAGACGCCCTCCTGTCGCCGCCCAAAAAACCCACACACTGTTTCTCATTTTTCTAATTGCTATAAATAGGAAATAGAAATAAAATCCAAAATGATCTTCCTAGAATGGGAAACTGGCCTGAAACTAACCACAGTGAAATTCAGCAGAGACAAATGCAAAATTCTGCAGCGAGGATGATGGGGGCGGAATAAGGATAAGATGGGAGATGCCTGGCTTGGCAAGAGTGTATGTGAAAATGCTGGAGAAATTGAAGCCAATCACTGGCTGAGCAAATGAGCTGTGGTAGAAAAACTGCTCAACCCTTGCCATCAAGTAGGGCTGGGAGAGACTTGTGCCTGAAATATTGAAGAGCTGCTGCCAGTTAGATGAGACAGAACTGAGCTGGGTGGATCACTGTTCAGCTTAGAAACATGGGGACCTCTCTTATCCCGAGTCAGACCCTTGGTCCATCTAGTTCCATATGTTGCTGGACTTCAACATCCATCCACCCTGACCAGTGGTCATGCTAGCTGAGGTTGATGGGAGCTGGAATCCAACAACATATGGAGGGCCACAGCTTCCCCACTCCTGCTAAGCACAGTCTAGCATTTCATGTGAAAAGATCCAATGAGGATTCTCAGTACAGTCATGCGGCTCGTCCAGACTTGCCCTTGCCCTGCCACTTTCCCCCAGGGGAAAGAGGCAGGGCAAGGGCAAAACCACACTGATCTGTGCTTCCTAGCATAGGACAAGTGTGAGTCTGAATGAGCCCTTTTATCAAGCACATGCTGAGGGCAGAGTGGCTTGGCTTCGAGAAAAGAAATGGGAATTCCCTTCCACAGAAGGACAAAATAAACCAGAGCTCCCCGCCACCAGCTCACCCCAATTTTTTGGAGCTTGTGGAAACATTTGGAATTTTGAGGGAGTGCTGTGAGTCCTGCCTCACTTCTGAGTCACTTCTCTCTGTCCCGTTCAACTTTTTGGGTGCCACCCTCAGCTTTCTTCAGCTGCCTGGGTGCACATAGAGCTGAAAGAGCAAATGGGCATGAGTAGGCTCTTCCCAGTTCCTTTTTCACTTCAACATGTTTGGGTGCTGATTTGAGTTGAAAGAAGACGTAAGAAAGAGGGTCAGTCTTCCCGATTCCTCCATCTGCTCATCAAGGGGTGGGGGAAGAGACACCACTCTTGCCACCTCATGATGAAGGAGAACTGAGCAAGAAGTGGAGGGACAGAAGCTTCACAAGTTATGGGGAATGTCCTCAAAGGTCCAATTGTGCACTGGGAACATTTGGAGGAGAGAATACTGTCCCCCTTTGTTTTCTGCCTCTTATTGTACATATTTAACTATACAATATAAAGAAAACCATTTATAAAGAAATAAAATTGGAGGCAAATCAGCAAGGCTAACATGAAATACTGACGAGTATGCTAGTGTGATGTGAGACCACTCATATTTCATATCATACATTTTTTTACCTTCCTGGACTCAGCTGCTCAGGCCAAGGTCTTCTGGGTCTGCGAAAAGAAAAAAGAAGAAAAGAACAGCCCCCAAGAGTGTTTATATTTTTTTGTTCATGACCATGCTGTTTAGTTTTAATTGGTACCAAGCTAGCCAGCCAAGAATTCTAAATGAAATTTCATTTCTCTGTGTACTGCTGATCAATATTCACTCAACGCACAACGGCTCTTTGTATCTCGGTGGAATAAAATAAATTGTCAGTCAGCAGCATGGTTTTTGTTGTCGCTGGGTCTTCCTCCCCCCAAGCTAAATTATTCACCTTCTCAAAAGGCAATTTGATAAATGTTTATTTCTTCATAATGCATTCTAACAATCACTGATTTGTGACACTCGCTGTGAACAGAATTTAAATTCATAGAGGATGCTTTCTTTCTCTCTCTAAGAAGACGCTAAGAGAGACAGACGAGAAATGGCTCCTGGAATGTTGCCTCTTTTCCATTTCAGATATTGCGGTGGCCTCCCATGGTATAAGGGGCACTAATTGAATTTAAGAGATGTAATAAGTGAGAAGCGCACCCATTCACATTGCGTCAGAATAAGAGCTGGCTCAATGGATTTGGCAGAAGCAGCAGCACCGGGACAGCGCGTAAGCACCAATTTCACAGTAAAGCGGAAAAGACTGCAGAGCGGTAGAGTTCACTGATGAGTTCTAACAGAGGGCAGGGAGATATATATTGGGAGATGAAACTTTTCCCAATGCACAGCATTATGAAAAAGGAATCGCTAGAGATAAACTTTGGGTAGGTTGTCTTCTAGCAAAATTCAGATTTATTTCTCTTTCATAAGTGCTGCAGCATCTAGTATATGATTGAGACGGCTATTGTTTACTATGCACAGGTAGCCATATCTCTTTCTTCCCCTTTCCTCCTTCTTCCAATGTTCCTTTGGGGGGAAAGTTGTACTATTTTTACTATTGTACAAATATTGAATATTGTACTGTTCTGAGAATTAAAGTGTGGTATTGAGAACTTGCTGGGGGGGGACTGTGCTTAACATCACAGCAATTCATTGTTCTATGAGGGCATATTTCCTTGTGGGTAACCTTGCAGAAGGAAGAATACTTGTCAGTGGCCCAGAGGAAAAAGTGAGAGGAGCAATGAATGTGAATCTTAACTTAGTACAAAGTTTCCATGCACATTCACACACACCCTTTCGATCCAGGCAAGCAAGAAGCATTATCAGTGTTCAATGGCATGCACATGTGAGTCAGAGACTTTCAAGGAAGCTGCAAGTCAGGGCTGGTGAGATATGTGACCTAGGAAGAGGGGATGTGGCCAGGGAGAGTCCCCTAGGTCCATCCAAAGCCTGGAGATGTCTTTGTGGAAACCTACATAAGAAGCTTTTAAACTGAGCTGCCACACATCAGGCACTAAGAATGAGTTTCCTAGTTTTTTCCCTGTTGACTTTCTGTTAGAGAAAGAGAAGGGGAAAGCTCTTGTAGCGCTGGCAGGAAGACTTTGAAGCAAGTTCTAAAGAACATGATGGAACCAAAGTTCATCCCATCCTTCGTTTTTTATCTCAAAGATACCCCAAATGTTCATCTCTCCTGGGATAAGACAGACCTGGAACATAACAGTGAGAATCTCACAGAGAAGGTTGACAGGTAAATGACAAAGATGATTAGTGGGAAATGGCCTCAAGCATCTCTGCAGCTGCTATCAACAGACTGCTGGGAAAGAAACCGACCATGAAAGAATATTTTGTGGTGGTAGGTGAAAGAACTAAGAAGGTAAGTCCAAAAGCAGAGAATGTAAAAGCCTGCAATATTCATCACACACAGAGGGAAGCTATTTGTGCTAATGGCCAGTCACATCCCACCCCTCACTGCCTGCCGACAGTCCCCCACATGCTCCCATTGGCTGAAAGAGATGCAGTTTTCTTCTTACTATTTATTTTGATGCCCTGCTGGCCCTCTTTGTTTCCTTCTTGTAGCACCATTATATTTGTAGCTAAGGTTTCCTTGCTGCTTCACTGCACTCCATTCTTTGCCCATGCAGGACTAATGAATTCAGGTTCGATTCAAATGTAAAACAAGGCGGGACCAGCCTGCTTTCCCCCCCAAAAGCAGATTTTGATGCAATGAAATGGACTGCTGTCTTTGCCATAATTCCACTCCTGTTGCCCATTAATCCAGTTTTGCCACCTTGAGCCATCATTTTCCTTTATTTTCTCAAAATTTACAGTTACATAGTATCATCCTTCCCATACCTCAAATCACCCTCCCACTAAAAAAAAAAAAAAAATCCTCCCTAGAGCAACACATTTGCCGTGCTCAGCAATATACGGGAGCAATCTCACTTAGTAATTGCTAAGAAAATTCTGTGTCCCTCCTCATTGTATTTCTTGCAACTATGATTTCTTCCTCTCTTTCCACCTCCTAAGTCCCCTGCTGTGCCAATGAACTCTGATAATCATGCAAGTAGCACTGAGATAGAGATCAAGTGATGCAGCCAGCTCTATCTCAACTTTGACTTTCAAGTCCGCATTTACTCGAATGCATGCATTACCGTCTGAGGAAATATAAAGTCATTCTTCCTCAAACGAAAACTGCTTTTAGCCTGTGGTATAAAGTGCCCCAGATTTTAAGAAGCAAAGGAAATATTCCTCCTTCATTCTAAAAATGGAACAAGCATTCCTTCTGTGAGCTGTTTCTAGTCGGTATCATCGCTTCACCCAGTCCATATTCATTCTGGCTGCAAATATGCAAATAGGAGGTCGGTGTTTATTGAATGCTTGACTCTAACTATATAACCCATATATGGATTATAACATAAATCTTGAATTCTGTTGTACTTTTAAATCTACTGTATTTTGAATATTAAATTGGAGGAGTACTCAATTTGGAGGAGGATTGGACAAATTCATGGAGGGTGGGGCTATTAATAGCTACTAGCCATGGCGGTTTAGCTGTGCCTCCATAGTCAGAGGCAGTAATATTTTTGAATACCAGTTGCTGGAAGCCACAGAAGGGGAGAGTGTTTTTGTGCTCAGGTCCTGCTTACAGGCTTCTCACAGGCATCTGGGTGGCCACTGTGAGAACAGGATGCTGGACTAGATAGGCCATTGGCCTGATTCACAAGGCTATTGTTATGTTCTTAAATATCTTTGGCAATATCCAATGTGCTCATTCTGTTAGTGGAAGGATTTATGCATGTGCAACAGAAACCCCTTCCTCCCCTTTCAGGCACTCTCTCCATATCTGTTCCAGGGAGCTGGGGGATCCCTAGAACAGATTTAGGGGGGAAAGTTCTATTACACAAGCATATATCCTTGCGCTGATGCAACAATTCATGTTGCACTACTTTGGATACAACACTTAATCTTTTAAGATTCAGACTACTATAGAGGCTTTATTATTTCCAGTATATTTATTACATGGGAGAGTGTTCAGAAAGGGTGTTTCTGCAGTGATGCTAATCTACCCTTCCTACCTATCTCCATTCTGTTGCATATGTCTGTTCTAGGCCTTCATATGCAACTACATCAGCTGTCTTCCCTAAGATGTTTCCTGGGAACAGCTTGTGCAGTCCTTAACTTATTCAAGTAGCACAATTGATTCTATTTGTGTAAACTAGGCTAAAAAAACTCACACATGGGTCTTTATTTCTTTACATCTACATCTAGATTTTCTTCTGCCATGGAACAGACAGGTGGCATGCATGTGATTCCCAGCCACTCAACCAAGCACTGGCAAGAACCCAAATCTTGCTTAGCTTCAGTAAAGTGGTGGCTTCATGTGCCTTCAGACCATAACCTGGGTGTGGATATACATACATTGGGTAGGATTCAACGAATAAGTCCCATCAGCAGAAGCTCTGTGAAATTTCCACTTGTGCATTGGGGCTTTCCTCCCTTTCCTCCCCCAGAATTGGACCTGGGGGCAGGGGGCAGAAGAACCCCTGAAACAGCATTCAGAGAGAGGAGAGGGACATTGACCCATCTGGCAAACCTAATGCTTGCCCTGATGGAGTGAGTGCCTTAGTGCAACATTGAATTGCTTCCCTTGTGACTGCCATTGTCATAAGTCATTGCCACTTATCTATAGTGTGTACCTCAAATGGCCTCCAATAGGACAGATTTTAACCATCACTTTCCACCTTTAAGCCACCCATATAGCAATTTTGTGGATCTGTCTCTTTCTCCTTTTACAACTGAGCTGATTTCTATATCTTCCTGACACCTCAGACCTTTATGGAAGGTTATACCTCGCAG